TCACATTCTGATCTGCAGGACAGATGTGCAAGCAAGTAGCTGTGGGGTAGTGTGGTAATTAGTGTATGCGCCAGGGCAGGAGGAGGCTCAAAGGAGAACGTGATGTCCCGCAGTTGGGCGGGCACGGCGGGCGGGTTCAAGGAAGGCTTCACGGAGGAGGCAAGACTCGGGCTGGATCTCGAAGGAGAACACCGGTGCCCCCAGGCGCAGGGGAGAGGGCGTTTCACGTGAGGGAGGGCGTGCGCACAGGCGCACAGGCCCGAGGCGGCCCGACGCTTCGCGGAGCTGCAGGTGGTTAGGAGCGCGGGGGTGGGGTGGGGAGGTGACAGGAGGTGAGGCTGGAGGGTGGGGAATGTCCGCTTCATCCCAAAGGAGCTGCAGAGCCATGACGTGCTTTAAGTGGGACACACTGGAACTTAGGGCGGTTATTCGGAAAGCAAACTCGATGAGTCGGAAGTGGAGGAAAGGGTGTTGCGGGGTGACACAGGGTGAGACTGGAGGCAGGGAGCCACCGAGGGCGGAGGGGACCGCAGGGGACCCTGTGGCAGAAGCTGGCAGTGTCCATCTGAGACGGTCGCCATTCGAGAAGATGCAGGTAGTGTAGCTGTCCCAATAAGGGATCTCAATTCTCTTTTTTTTTTTTTTTAGGCGAGGCAACCCTTGGTCGACCTCACAGATTGCAAAGACCTTGTCAGCTCACAATCCCTTATTTTTTTATTTTTTATTTTTTATGCCTACAGCACCTGGTCTTCCTAGGTGGTCTCCCGTCCGAAGCGACTAAGGCTAACTCTGATCAGTTCCTGAATGACTTTGACGGGGACGCTATGCACAGACCTTCACAGTTTGTGTCCTATTTACCGAGCGCTGTCTCCGCGATTTCTGGAGTTGGAGATTGGGCCGTTCTGTGGCAGCCAGTCGATTCTGGTTTAGCTCATTCGGCTTTTTCCTGGCTGGGAGGGAGGGGCGACTTCCAAGCTCCTTCCGTGCTGGGCCAGAACTCGTGCTCGTCGTTTCGTGGCGGGTCTGGGAGGCCAGTGGAACATCCGAGTGCGGTCGTTACTCTGTGATGACGAATAAGATTACCCAGGGACAGAGAGGCCTGTGCTCGAGGAAGACCAGCATCGGTGGGAGAGAAAGAGATGCTGGCAGGGAGAGCAAGAAAAAGCCTGAGAGGCAAGAGAATCAGAAGAACGAGACCTCACGGAGCCCAAGGGGAGAAGGTTCCAGAAGAGGGACTCGCCACAAGAGTGTAAATCCTGCCGAAAGGTCAGATACACTCGGGGCCGAAAACTGTCCATCGGAGGGAGCTGTTTGGCAGTTTGGGTGGAGGCGCGTCCAGAGAGGAAAGGGCGTGACACGGATCAGAAAGAATGGAGGCGGGGGAGGCGAGGTCGTGGCCGTAGCAGGTGATTTCTTTTCCAAGAAATTCGTGGGAAATGGATTTGACGGTGCACTTTTTCCTCCCGGTGGGAAGACTTAGGCATATACAAATGTCGATGGGAATGCGCGTGGCGAGCTGGTGGAGGGCACGATGGGACAGAGACGCAGACGAGAGGACATACCTCGTAGGTGTCCGAGAGGAGACCAGGACCGGAGCACAGGATGGAGGGTCAACCTTAGAGGGGAAGATGGGTGTCTAGTCCATTTCAACAGGAGAAAAGCAGGAAAGAATCAATATACGTTATTGCTTACGTCATTTGATCTGTACCGAATTCTCTGGGGCCGGATATCGTTTTAAGTGACGCAGCGGAGGCCTGCAAAAGTGACACACTTGTTCAGAGTCACGAAGGAGAACATAGAGCGTCCGACCCCGAGGTTACCTTGAACCCCCACTCTAGTGCTCATTTGTCTACAGTATTTTAAAAACTTAAGTTCTCCATAGGACGTGCCCTGGAAATGAGTGAAATTTAGTTCCGCCCCTGTTTTATGACTCGATAAACCAGAATGGAAAGAGCTTTAACTGGAACAAACACGCGGGGCCATTTGGTAGAGACCTAGCAAAAGAAGCTCTCCTTCATTAATGTTTGACCAGCTCGGTACCAAAGGTCTGACTTTTCTTCCTCGGCAAGATTTTACTGGAATAAGCAACCTTGCTTCTATCCGTGTGTGTGGCCGAGTGGCACCGACATGCGTGTCTTGCATAGTTATCTCCTTAGTCCTCCCAGTGATCGTGACACATGGGTATAACTGGGTCTGTTACACGTCAACAGACTGAGGCTCAGAGAAGTCAAGTAAGTCGCCCAAGGCCACGGAGCGGGTAGGGGAGGAGGACTCGAACCCGTCTTCCCGACTCCAGAGCTCCTGCTCTTTCGGCAAAGCGCTGCTTCGTGGAGCTCGGGGGAGGGAGGAGCTGCTGGTTGGGAGGTGGCTTTGGAAGATCTCCTGGCGTAGAACCTGTCTGCCAGGAGTTCGTGTCTCTCCTTGCAACATCCTACACTTAAGAAAGAGCTGCAGGGCTAACGATGGTCAGTATTTATATAGTGTCAGCTATGTACTAAGCGTTATTCTAGATGCCGTAGGTAAAATAACTTAATTCTAGAGCAGCCTACGAGGTTGGTTCTATTATTGTCTCCATTTGATGGAGGAGAAAACTGAGGCGCAGAGAGGCTGAGTCACTTGCTGAAGTCGCACAGCGTGTGAGCAGCGAAGCCCGAGTTTGAAACCCGGGACATTTGGCTTTTTTTTTTGTTTGTTTAAATGCCAGTTCATTTACTTATTTTTTATACTATATATAGATAATTTTTTTAACATTTTATTTTTTTATTTCCCTCTCCCCCTCCCCCGCTTCTGGTAACCATAGTCCATTGTCCATGTCCCTGAGTCTCTGTTTTCTTGTTCGTTTGTTGCTTTTAGTTTATATCCCACATATGTGATATCATGTGATTTTCAACCTCTTCCGTCTGGCTTATTTCACTTAGCATGATTATCTCACGGTCCATCCATGTTGTCGCACATGGCAGTATCTCATCTCTTCTTGTGGCTGAGTCATATTCCATTGCATATATGTGCCACAGCTTCTTTAGCCAATGTAGTCTGGCTCTTAAACAGTTATGGTATTGCGTGTCGGGCAGAGACCGGTGATCCCTGATGAGGAGAATGACTTAGACTCGATTCTCAAATCTGATTTTCTGACTTCTTTCCTGCCTACTCAGTTTAGTTATTTGGCTAAACGCACAGGCTTTGGAGCTAGACCCGGCTATGAATCACAGCTCTCCCATAACTTGACCGTGGACAAGTTATTTAACTTCTCTGTTTCTTCATTTATAATGTGGGGACAATAAGAATGCAGTACGCAGCTCAAAGAGTCGCCGTGAGGGTTAAATGAGGTGATGCATGTTACGAGCTCAGCCGGCCACCCGGCCGGTAGAAAATGGGCCGTGGATGTCACCTGTTCTTATCATATGTCGTAAAGTTGACTAACAGGCAATCCGAGCATAGTTCCTCTTGACTCCAGAGCCCTGTCAACCGCTGCACTGACTGCCCCCAGGTGTCCTCATCCGAGTGCTCGGCAGGCCGCCCGGCCTCCAGACTTCCTCCAGACTTCAGTGGTCTTGGCAATGGACCTCAAAATCCGTGCCCTCCGGTGCCTCCTTTGACCCCTCCCTCGTCCCGCCCCAGCGTGATGAGTGCTCAGTGCTGAGGAAGTGGAGTGTGGCCCGGCTGGGAGCTGGAGGCCAGTGCAGCAGGGATCAGAGTCCAAAGCCTGGTCCATGACGTGTAAGTGGAGGCCACAGGAGTGGCCAAGGTCGCACGCCGGACCCCTGC